GCACTGTGACAATTAGAGGAACAGATTCAAGCCTCAATGCATAGTACTTGCTTTCCCTTCAATGCAGCAGAAATAGGTCACAATTACAAGGACAAGCCTTTGGCTCTTCAAATACAGCCTAAAGGTTTCACATGAGGAGGTTACTTACCAAATATTTTAGCCAGGTGTTCCTCTGATTCATTTGAATTTGATGAAAATTCAGAATTTTCCAGGCTTTTTTCTTGGAAATAACCTATGGGAAAATAAACCTTAGCTGGGATTAAAGCTTATGTTAGACCTGTATTTATTCTCTTTAAATTAATATTCTTCTGCATGATATTTTGAGAGAAGCATCAAATAGTCGGCCTACACCCACCTATTCCAAATGTCACCACATTCATGAATTACATGGTTCATTATGAAAGTTTTGAGATACACAAAAATCAAGAAAAAAAAAAAATCCTCATGGATGGAAACAAATGAAGCCTTCCCAGCAACACCAATAAGCCACGTAAGTTGAAACTTGCAAGGGTGAAATCAGAAAGGATGCTGTAGACTGTGTTTCTTGGAAATGAAATAATGGGCCATAACACAATGTGTCTTAAAACTTTTGTAGTGACCTACACAGCTGTAGCCATCTGAAGTTCCAACACGAAACTGGGGGCTAAGCTCATTTTCACAAAGTTTCTTTCTTTCTTTCTTTCTTTTTTTAAGAGAAAGGGTCTCACCCTGTCACCCAGGCTGCTTTTGAACTACTGGGCTCAAGTGATCCTCCCGTGTTGGCCTCCCGCAGTGCTGGGATTCCAAGTATGAGCCATCATGCCTGGCCTATAAGACAATATGCATAGCAATTAAGTAATCTGTCTACATGGCAGCTTTAACTCTATAGGGAAATCAGTAGAAAGGCCTGCATGGTATATGCTGAATGATTCCCAGTATGGTTACTTTCATCCAAATGCACATGTTCATGACAAATGCACAGTTTTCTGTTAAGGAGACATTGGTGAATCAGGAATAGATAGATACACTTAATCGTGCAAGCAGTTTGCTAAAAATGTGTTCATCATATTGTGTCAGCCAAGGGAACATAATGAAACATGATGTGGGGCAAGCTATCAAGATTGTAGAGTGAAATATTCACACTTTTTCTTAATAGGGTGGTTTATGCATTGACATTAGTTATAAAATTGCTTTACTGATAGTCTTAGAATTCACAGCACGCATGCCTGGCTTATCCTGATAACTAATTAGCAATTTTCAATTTTCTTCTTAGTGTAGAGACTGTAGATACTGTCCATCTTAAAGGTTTTTTTCTGTTTTGTGTGTGATTTGAAGCTAATTTGTTTTTGGCGGGGGGGGGGCTGGGATTTTTTGTTTATTGATTTTTGCTTTTGAAGCCAGTTGTTTCCTCTCAGTTTGGGGATTTGAGCATCAGTACTAAAGCAGCTCTGCTAATGTGGGCAGACATTTTACAGAGGCTGCGATGGGGTGGGGTGATGCGGAGGAATCTAGGAAGGCTTTGCTCTCCCAAGCCGGTGACTGGGGAACTCGTGGGTAGTGAACTATAAAGTGCTGATGAATAGAAAGTTACCACACTACTCACAACTCATGATGCAAGGAACAGTGAAGCTCTCTTGCAAATCAGTTTACTGTCCTCTGAATAGCCTCTAGAATGGCAGAACCTCCCTAACTCTATACCTCAGGGATCACTCCAAAATATAGGGATATTCACACTTTAGACCATAGATGCCCATAGTTGGTGGAAAGTTACAGAGAGGATTTCAGACAATTCCTTCTTTCTCATCTTAATTTGTTTTTTTCTCCATAAGTAGTTGGTTTAAAGAATGCTAAAATGAAAAGATAGTATAAATAACATAACACATTGCCTGATGAGGAATAAGCACTTATTGTAACAATGTATACTTGCTTTCTTTCACGCCTTTTTTTACAATTGATTTGTCTGTTGTTCTTGCTTCATCTAACTGTGAATCATGTGGAACTTTGGAAAACTCTTGCAGTAGAATTTCATCTCAAGCAAAGCAAACAAAAGCATGTTAATACCAGCAATGCAGGATTGATATATTTTGTTCTCTAAGTACCTAAAGTGAGTCTATGGCCATATCACTCAGAATGCACCCAATCTTATCTAAAGAATCTAAAGTAGTCTATGAATACAGTGAATAAATGACACAAACTCAATGGCTATGGGACATTATGCTCTGAAATGGCTTATCTTAAGAAGGGTAACTCTAACTACCTAACCAATTTCTGGAAAATTGTAATTGCACAAGAACTCCTGGGTAGTAAACAATGCCCACTAAAGATATGGCCGAAAATCTCATGACACTTAGAACTATAATTTTCCTTCTTGGCCCTGTTGTCCCTCTGACCCACCTCTGATGTCCCAACCCATCCCTATATATGAACCAAACTGCTTTTCTGTTTCTGTAAAATATGCATCATTTTCTTCCTTAAGATCATATTCCCTCTCCCAGGAAGCTTTACCCAATGAAAATCCAGATTTTGCAGCAAACAGAACTAGCCCCAAATCCTGATTTTACTCTTTGCCAAACACAAGTAACTTCACCTGTTTTATCTTAGGTTCTTTCATCATTAAGATGGGGATACTATTATTTAGTACTATTATTATAGGACATTTGTGAAAATTGATAAAAGTACTAAACACAGTGACAGTGTGAGGATCATGCTGAAGGCAGAATGCCTGGAAAGTGTCCATCACCATCTTTTTATAACAATAACCCCAGATCAGCGAGTAAATGTTGCTAGTTTTCTGCTCTTTGGGACCTTGCACACATGGAATATGTAGGTCAAGAATAAAAAATACAATGCAAGCTTGGTGCCTATAGCTCAGTGGCTAGGGCTCCAGCCACATATACCAGGGCTGGTGGGTTCAAACCTGGCCCAGGGCCTGCCAAACAACAATGACAACTATCTGAAAAAAAAATAGACATTGTAGTGAGCATCTGTAGTCCCACCGACTTGGGAGGCTGACACAAGAGAATCGCTTAAGCCCAAGAGTTTGAGGTTACTAGGAGCTGAGATGCCACGGCACTCTACCCAGGGCATCATAGTGAGACTCTGTCTTAAAAATGAAAAATAAAAAAGGAAATAGAGATGTCACCAAACATATGACAGAAAAAAGAGGTGTCCACTGCAAGTTTTCTGCATTTCCATGCCTAATCTTCCATTTCCACTTTGCCAGGGCCATGGGACATACAGAGATGCTCAGAAGACTCCTGGGATCCAGGAAGAGAGCCCTTCTCTGAATTAAAGAGAAACATGTGCTGGAACTGTGCTTCCCTATTCCCTTTTCCCCTGGCTTAAAAGCAGATGTGATATCTGCGGCTGCAGAAACCATCTTATGACCAAGAGACACAATTATGGAGAAATTGGCCCTGCATGAGCTACTCCATTAAGGCCATGTTGCCTTCCTCAGATTGCTTGTGACAGAGGAAAATAAACCTGGGCGGTGCCTCTGGCTCAAAGGAGTAGGGCACCAGCCCCATGCATCAAAGATGGCAGGTTCAAACCTGGCCCCAACCAAAAAAAAAAACAAGAAGGAAAGTAAACCACTCTCTATTTAATCCACTGCAAGTCAAGTAATTGCAATCAAGTGCATTCCTACCCAGCTCAGTTACTATGACAAGACATGGACTTCCCTTGCTGAGATGGTGTCGGCCACTTGGTTGCTATGATCCACTATTGTTTGGAGGAACCAAGCATAAGTTTCTGAAGATGATAATGCTCAGTTTGACTGGGATAGAGTAGAAGACTGCACATCATTCATACAACAAGCTTTTACCAAACCCTAGTTCTGCAAAGATGCTGGGGTTCAGAGAGGAGGGTGACCTACTGTGTGGTCTGCAACCCTGAGCCACTTAGATATGTGGGAGAGGCAAAAATATAGAGACAACCAGACACATGGGCACAGCCACACTGAGCAGCAAAGCAAGGGTCAGGGGCAGAGAACAGAGAAGAAAACCAACTGGCCCCATGGCAGCCAGAAGGCCGGTGCTTGCTGAGCAGGAGGGAGAAGTGGGCCAGGCCAGGTGAGGCTGAGTTCTGGATCCACTGGATCATGCTATTTACTGAGACCTCAATGTCACTCCTGTTCATGGATGCTGAGTGCCTCCTTCAACTCCCTTCACCAGCAATCTGGTGCTTATGATCTCATAGAAGTCTTGGTGGGCCAGTGTGTGTGACATGGAAGACACACAGCAATAGCCCCTTGGGGACGCTAACTCAATGAGCTACAAACATCCTAAAAGTCCTCCAGGCAGTCATCAAGGGGCTGCTGCAGACAGACAACATCCCATACCAAGATGACACGTGACACCCCCCAAACCCATGTGACTTAGAGCCAGGAGGGGTTTGACCTTGACACTTCCATAATATCTGTACTGCCCAGGACCCAAGAAATCCAGAGGGAAAGGCTGTCCTCAGAGAGTTTTAAAACTTATTTACAAATGTTGTATAGGAAAATTATACCCAGCACCCACAAAAAATGGGGTAAGGCTGTGGGGCTAGAAATAAAGCAGAACAGATTCTGTAAGCCCAGAAAGCTCTTTGTTCATAAAACCGTTGCTAATTTTTCAGGGTTACTTTTCCTCAACTATATTAAGTTGTCTTGCAGGCTTCTACCTTCCCTGGGAAGTAGCAGTTTTACTTTCCCTCAAGATTTTCTTTGCTAAGCCACAGAGAACAATGCTCACAAATTCCATTCATTTTGTGTACGTTCTGAGCCATGTTCAAGGTCTCTGTATACTTTGCTACCCATTTGACAGAATAGGTACTTAGGACAGGACACCAGAAAATTAACTGCCAGACTCACCACGAAGATGATGTGGTCTGCTCACCACCTCCTCCTTGATGAATGTTTGACCTATGAATTCCT